AAGATATATAAGGTTAATAACGCGTTAAATTAAAAGTGACTCGTCGGAACAGGGATTCGTTTTACATGAAACTTCCTCAGTCGAAGCATAACCGATGGAATGATCCATCGTAAAAATTTCTAGCCACTCTATGCAAAATACGCAAAGGCGTCTCCGGATAATCGTCGCTTTGACAAAAAAGTTGACTGTCGAGCTCCGTGGAAGATAAAAGGAGGCTAATACAATCTGTCTTATCTCGACATCACGCGGAACATCCGGCCGGTTTAATCCTCTCGTCCGACTCGAAATACGTTTTTCACGATTTCATCCGATATTCATGTTTCACAAAATTGTTTCGAAACGGAAGAGAATAGGAATAAAAAAAATTGCGTCCACCCGAATCGATCGACTCTTTAAAGGTTTCGTTGCGGTAACTCGCGAAGATACATTCATAAATTTCGATCCCATTGAGGTATCGAATAAAGTCTCGATATCGTGGATAAAATTTTAAGGATGGCTCTTATGAGAAAACAATGCACTGGCGCGACGGATAGGATGAAGTTGTTCCTTTTTACGTCATGTTCTCGGGGGAGCGTATTTTATTTTGAAGCATCATAAGTTTATCGACGACGAATGAAAGTTTAAGCGGTTCGCCGTTACGTAAAAAAAAAATTATATATAGAGTGTATAGAAGATTTGTATAGCGCGTGCTTTTCTAAAAAGCTGATACGGCTTCGGATTTTAGCCAGAATATTCAGAAGATGAGATTCAGAGGTTGATTTATACAAAGAGGTTATCTTTTTTAGTTTTTTTTCTGTTAAGAAAAATAAAGATGTACGTCGAAAACTTTAGTTGCAGGCCATTCTGCTTTTATTATACATCAACTCAAATTTCAATTTATTCATGTCCATTTCTACTATATAATTTAATTTTAAGGATATCAGGTATATATTCTATAAAAAATGACTGGAATTGGAAATTTATACTTTTCGTGTAAAAAATGAAATTTATATACATATAATGAAACAGTTCAATAAAGTCAATATTTATATTTAGCAATACAATTTATAATTTAAATGAATCTTTTAAATTTAATTTTAATTATTTTTTGAAAACAAAAAATCTCCCTTATTGAAATAATTTTTGATCCATGTTTTAAAACTCTTTGTATTATTTTTAAATACAATGTAGAAAAATTTAATATTTTCATTTTTGTTAAAAGATACATGTTTTTTTATTAAAGTTTAAATAAAAAAATATAATAAATTGTACCAAATCTTATTCAAGAAAAAAATTGTAAGATTTAAAAACTAGACTTTTTTCTAAGAATTAATCTATTTTGATAGAAATGGATATTATTCGAATTAATACTCGATGCATGAGACATCTTTATTTTTCTATTAAGTTTAATGTTAGCATTAATGTAGTCAGGATTTATATAGAGAGAAGGCAAATTAGAGTTGAAATTTTTAAAACTGAGAAGAAGGTAGTCGAGTGATATGGACTATTGTACTTGTTTTTTGTTTTAAATTTATGGAAAAAACAATTTTACTGAAATATCTAAAAATTTTATTATAAATACATATCTAAAAATAATTTGGATGTATCACTAAAATAATTATGTGAGAATATTAAATGTGATGAGAAATGCTGCAAAAAATTGTGATATTCTAACAATCAGTCTACATAATTATTTAATATTCTATTTATTTAATATTCTACATAATTATTTTGATGATTCAACAAAATTATTTTCAAATCTGTGTCTAAATTTTTAGAAATTTTTAGTAAAATCGTTCTTCTTTTTCGTGTTATCATTTTTAATTAATTACTAATAATTAATCACAAAATTAAACATATTTAATTTATTATTTTATTTTATTTTTTTCTTAAAATTGTAAATTGATTCTTCGAATTGGAAAAAATTTAATTTATTAACACTGTAATTAAATTTGTATAACACTGATTAGTTTAAGTGATTCTCAGAAAATCTTTTTATAACTTTCATCTCCTTTTTCCTTTTTTAAGATTAATTTTTTTACGAATACTCATTAAGCGTAATTTATTTAAACGATTGTAATTATTTTTATCTCTATTTAAATCATACCTACTTCTGTGTATTACAAATTTATTACGACTTTTACTATTATTGTATTATTATAGGTGCGATCTATATATTAATTCACACTGTAAATGCTTTTTGAAGTTGATCTTTGATTGGTCAATTTGTAAAATTCTTCTGATTGGTCAACAAAGCATTTGCAGCCTTAAATGCATCGTATCTTCTTAAACTGACAAAAATTAAGATGAAGAAGATTCCGTGAAATTTTCATTCACTTTCGTAGTTCCGCTGGTCGAGCGTGAATTGCTTCGAAATCGCCGAGTGTCGCACTCTGTCGGCGTCGCGACGCAACATCGTCGACGTCGTTGCAGCTTTCTTCCGGACCGCCGTCACTGACGTCTCGCGAGAGAGGAGAAAGTCACGAGAAATCGCATGAGAGAAGGAAGGAGCGGATGACGTCGAAGATGTCAAAATGCGTCTGCGCATGCGTTTCTGCGGCATCAGGATGCCGAATACGAACGAGGCATGCGATCGTGAACGAAAAAGAGAGAGAGAGAGAGAGAGAGAGAGAGAGAGAGAGAGAGAGAGAGAGAGAGAGAG